AATGAATACAACTGAAAGTCTCTTTCTTTCTTTCCCTCTTTAGCTATCAATCTCACTGTCACACGTATGCACATAAATACATGCATACGCTCAGTCATCTTAAATGATGTCCCAGAGAGAGTATGTCATATTTAGACACTAACCGATCCTCGTGCCCCTGAGGCATGCTAGAGTGTGTAACCCCAAACTCACCAGGGTGCACGGCACACGTTCACTCTAGCTGCATATCACACACAGACTCTCACCAGACGATTCACCAGCGAACCGTGGGGATTTTGAAATAACGTCCTACCTGTTTGGTCATGGAGTCAATCAGGCGTACATAAAAGTCCTGTTCTGTTCTGATGCCTGTAGAGGAGAGGAGAGAAGTCTTCTTTAACTCACAATACAATGCAGGATATATACGCACAAATATGGATCAGAAATGAAACCGGCAGGTATATATTTATCATTCACAATGACATGGCTTTAATACAACATAGATTCTTCAAATGTCTAGACAACCCAACCCAACATAGACTGCAGACAGTGTTAAAGGATTATGGGGAAAAAAATGGCTTTGGATGAAACTCAAACTTATGTAGACCCACATACATAAACTAAAAATAAAAAATAGCTTTTAGAAAGAAAAAGCACAAGAAAAATGTACAGCTTATAAAAGAGTGAAATAGACATAATCAAAAATAACAATTACAGAAAACATGATTTTTAACAAAATAAAATATGTTCAAAACGTCTTGTAAAAAGGATGAGGGTCGTTAAGGACTGGCGCAACAAATTTTCAAACGCCTGGTTGTCATTTACCACATTAGTAGACAGAAAAGAGTGTACTTTCATTATGGCCAGGCCATTAGCTTCCATCAAAAATGAAGTGCACATTTCTGGAAAACGCGTAACCGGAAAAGTGCACTAATGGGGATCGTTTTGTGTTTCATTAATGTTTATAGTTAAAACGCTACGACTTTGCTGCGCATTTTAATCTCTTTCGTTTGAACAATTATACGAATTGTTATAACAGTATATTATTATTATTATTATTTCAGGACATTATATTCATTTGAATCAGTTTGATCTAGTTACATAATGAATTATTTATTTCTTTGTCACCCCTCCTTGTCGTTCTATCAGTCTCGCTGTCTTTTTATTTTATTCAGATTGTCGCGCTGAAGTAAATCCCTGATGTGTTTATGCAAAATTCAGTGAGTCTTAGATTATGCGTTTCTTCTTACCGTTGCTGTAAAGAAGCTGCAATCTGTAATGGATCCCATTGTTGGTCTTTTCTCCGGTAGATTCCTGCAAAAATAAATTCGATGGTTAGCAAGAAAAACCTATTTGACTATTTCTGAAGAACCCCGTGAGTCAGACCGGCTATTCCCTTGCGGACCAGGAGGCCGGAAAAAAAACTGCTAACGCACATGAGCCAAACAAAAACAGTACAAAATACATTTTCACTCAGTAAACGAACGAGTTAAAAATACTTAAATAATAATAATAATAAGTCTTATGTGTTGAACAGTGTGATTTCACAATTTAATAATGTATAGACGTGTACAAAGTGATTAAATATACAGTAAGCATTAATAGCCACATCTTTTAATGAAATCAGTCACTTCGCTCACTATGATTAAGTTACAAGTGCTTACAAAACATTATATTTGTGTTGAGTATTTTTATTAAAGCAGCATATGGTCCTTCACAATAATAAAAATAATATGTTTTTTTAAATAGCATCTTGAAAGGGAATATTAACTTTATGACCTTAGGTTATCACTGTAATATTTCTGCAAAAATATAGCTAGCCAACAGATTCGTTAGTAAATGCATAAAGTACTGAAGGGAACAAATATAAAACATGAGGCTTTCTTAAATTATAAAGGATGAATATGTAAAAAAAATAAAAATAAATAAAAATATAATAATTAAATGGAGGTTTTCAGGGATTCATGCAGAACAGCAATTTAATGCAAGAATACGATTTATTGAGTATAGGCAAATAAGCTTTCAACTTTAGGCTAATATCAATAATATTTTATCTAGCCTACACTTTAATAATTATACCAATTTGCAAAACCAATATGCAAAAGAGAACGTTTCACTTGCCTTTTCTTTTTCAATAAATCCAACAAAAGTAGTTCTTTCAATTTCCACGGGTTGTCCTTGTCTGTCGTATAGCGCTAAAACGAAGTGGAAGAAGTTGGATTTGCGAAGATTTGAAGGAGGCTGCTTCTCAAAGTGTGCTCGAGCAAGACCCACTCCACTATGAACACATACAAGACAGAGAGAGGATGAAATATTTATATATGTATAATAAAAAAATAAAAACAATTAGTTTGTGATTATTTAATTACAATTTCCTAAAAAGGGTTCAAATGCATTTTTTTTTTTCAAATTGCAGTGCAAAAGCTCTTAAAATTTACTATTAAATGACAGTTTAATAGTTTAAACAAATAGGCTATTTAAAAGTAGCCTGTCTTTTAAAAACAGTCAGTGAGACGTTTTAATTTTATTCTCTTAAATAGCATAACAACAACAGATGTAATTGCTGTTAAAAAAAAATTAATTCATATAAATATAACTCAATCTAAGAACTCTGTTCAGCTGCTTATAACAAACTACTGGTCCGGACTGTCTTTCAAATTCAGTATTTAAAATTTAAAGCTACAGAATCAATGCAAAACTAGTGGTTGCAAAGTCACTTAGAAGAAAACGCGTATGGCTATTTTAACGTTAAGAATAATAATGTTAGAAATAGGCTAATAAAACCCGTTTTAATGTGACTTGCAACTCAAGCATTCTGTGTATTGGTGCCAACAGCACGCCGAAGAGGATGCTACGAACTTATCGCAGCAATAAATCAATCTCTTTGTCACCTGGTTATTAATAAGCAGATATCGCGCACTGATTAGGATGATATACAAGAGCGTTTTGTGTCGTCCCAGGATGATAAGCGCACAGTATTCCGTCTAGCTGTTCCCGTAGCGCTGAAGACCGCCGCCGGCTTACCTCTGAGCGGCTGTGTTCGCATCCAACACTCCGGCACCCTGCATCCATGTCCGGACAGCGTTCATCCCGGCACCGATGGGCTCCTCTTTCATACTACTCCCGCTCCTTTGAATGCTGTCTTGAATCCCGAACATGAAAACAGACTCCTGTCACCGTCTCAGTCGGCGCTTGCTTCTTTTGATCGCTCCGTTAAAAAAGACAAGGAGAAGTGTATGGGTGAGCAGGTGTCACCGCGACTCCACTATGAACACATACAAGACAGAGAGAGGATGAAATATTTATATATGTATAATAAAAAAATAAAAACAATTAGTTTGTGATTATTTAATTACAATTTCCTAAAAAGGGTTCAAATGCATTTTTTTTTTCAAATTGCAGTGCAAAAGCTCTTAAAATTTACTATTAAATGACAGTTTAATAGTTTAAACAAATAGGCTATTTAAAAGTAGCCTGTCTTTTAAAAACAGTCAGTGAGACGTTTTAATTTTATTCTCTTAAATAGCATAACAACAACAGATGTAATTGCTGTTAAAAAAAATTTAATTCATATAAATATAACTCAATCTAAGAACTCTGTTCAGCTGCTTATAACAAACTACTGGTCCGGACTGTCTTTCAAATTCAGTATTTAAAATTTAAAGCTACAGAATCAATGCAAAACTAGTGGTTGCAAAGTCACTTAGAAGAAAACGCGTATGGCTATTTTAACGTTAAGAATAATAATGTTAGAAATAGGCTAATAAAACCCGTTTTAATGTGACTTGCAACTCAAGCATTCTGTGTATTGGTGCCAACAGCACGCCGAAGAGGATGCTATGAACTTATCGCAGCAATAAATCAATCTCTTTGTCACCTGGTTATTAATAAGCAGATATCGCGCACTGATTAGGATGATATACAAGAGCGTTTTGTGTCGTCCCAGGATGATAAGCGCACAGTATTCCGTCTAGCTGTTCCCGTAGCGCTGAAGACCGCCGCCGGCTTACCTCTGAGCGGCTGTGTTCGCATCCAACACTCCGGCACCCTGCATCCATGTCCGGACAGCGTTCATCCCGGCACCGATGGGCTCCTCTTTCATACTACTCCCGCTCCTTTGAATGCTGTCTTGAATCCCGAACATGAAAACAGACTCCTGTCACCGTCTCAGTCGATGCTTGCTTCTTTTGATCGCTCCGTTAAAAAAAGACAGTAAGAAGTGTATGGGTGAGCAGGTGTCACCGCGTTTGTCTCTATTAGCGCTTCCTCTCTGAAACAGAAAATAGAGCGACGTGCCAAAAGAAACGCGAGATGTCAACATCCAGGTTTGGGAACACCGTGCAACAATCAAACAAACAAACAAACAAAAACTGCAAGATTAGACTGGAGGTCCCTTTGGTCTAGCGTGCGCAAAAAAAAGTCTAATGTCACTTTAAGAAACAATAGGATCAAGAACGGGCTTCGCTGAGGGTTAGGTCAAATGTCATCACCCAGAGACTATTTTTTTCTTTATTTTCTCCTCCTTTCCTTTCCTGTCTTTCTCCACAAAGAGTATTCTCTGATCAAATCACATGAATGAGCAATATGAAATCAACCAGGAGAGGTGGACCCTTGTGGAGACAGCTCCCTCGCTGTTCCCCTTGTTCAAACGGGAGTGATTTGTGTCCTTTCCCAAAGGAATCCGATTTGACTGTATCTGGGAACTAAACACAAGCAAACTAACCCCAAAGGGAGGAGGAAGAGGAGGAGGGAGTGACTGCGCACGCAGGGCCGCCCCCCAAACATAAGTAAAGCCGAACTACCATTAGCTGTCCACCCAACCACGAAGGCCGTCGCCTAATTAGATATCACAGCCAGCCCTGCCCACTTAGCGAGCGGCATGTTTAGAGAGAAAACCAGAAAGAAGTTATGCGCCGCGCGTTAAATGTCACACAGCAACTGCCTACCAGAGCGCGCGACTGAAGCCAAATTGATGTGGTTCACATGAACGCGGAGATGTTTTTTTTTAATATTGTGAGATTATTTTAGAAAAAGCACAGTATAAGTTTGTTTAAATACCGGTTTAGGGATGAGCTAGTGTTAAAAACTTTCAAGGGTTGGACTGTTAAAAGGGATTTTTCAAGGAAATTTCGGGGTGTTGAGGTTCGTCTCGAGCTGTTCAAGTTGTCTTTTGGCGCCCCTGACACAGTTAAGCAAATATCAACTATCCTAAAGACTTTTTAAACAAAACACGGCAGCATTTTTTTTGAGAAATGTAAATGTAATAAAGTGTTTCTTTATTAATTTTTGTTGAAATATCGATAATGATCCTGACACAAAGTGCTCAAGCAGCCTACTGTTGCTATGGTTACCTGCTAGGCGAACGCTGTTTCTGTTCGTGAGCGTCTGTTTACGTCCAGGTAAAAAACGAACTTTTACATACTTTTGTAATATAATTTTTTTTGGGTTAGTGAAACACCCGGCAGCCGCGGACATATTAGGATATTATTCTTTATTTAAAACACGTTTGTGGAATAGAATTAAGACCATGATGAAGTAGACTAAACAGAGATCTGTCATCGAAATAATGAGTTTTTATGTACGAGAGACATTAGCCCATGTGATATGTTTGACAACTGATGTGAGGAAACGAATAATTAGTGTCAAAATAGTGTCATAATGAGTCTTTAAAAGATTTAGTAAAAAATACGTTAAAGCAAAATGTGAACTTTGTCGCAGATTTGTCAACAGATTAATTATCAGTTAACAGGCTAATAAATAAAAATGTATTACTAATATGATTAAATTATTTAATACATTTAAAGACGCATATATTGTATTTAAAAACGCCATTGCTGATAAAAAAAAAGTCATGTACAGATTTATAATCCAGTTCTGATAGTAGCATACATAAATGACAGTAAACGCATCAAACAAAACTGGATAGTACAGACCCAAACAGTTTAACAGCTGCTTTGTCAGATTCGATATAAAACGACAGTAATAACGTAGCTATACAAGAGTAAATGCTGGGAGCGCAAAACCATGTTACATAGCAGCACTTTGTGTTTTTCATTTTTCACACAACAGCAGTTTTGTTTTAGATTTAGAATGCAACTATAAAGCTTTATGATATTTTAGAAATGTGCAAAAATGAGCATATGCATGCACGGAAAATGGATATTGTAGCTACTAGAGCTAAATGGAATCCTCCACAGACAGCGGACAGAGGAAGTAAGAATCCCGTCCAACCCAGTGCTGGTCAGGCAGAGGGGAATTCTGCTGCCCCTGGGTCCCTGTATATTTATATTCCCACACAGCAGTTTAAAGTGGCAGAAACTACACAAGCAGTCTCAGTGGAAACGGTGTATTTTCATGTGTCCAAATAAGAAACAGACCTGTTACTTAGCATATTAAAACGCGTTTAGTGCATCACTTAAATATAGCGACGAGTGCATGTGTGTAGGCTATGTGTATGGAAAAAAATCAATTTACAATCTTTATAATAAAAAAACTCGTGCCTGTATTTACGATAATCTGATAAAAATGCTTAAATGAATCTATATAATATACCTAATCCTATTGCTGACAGCGACAAATTCGATTTGATTTGTAAAACAGATGTCCACATAAATCACGCTGTTGTTGATGATATAAATGAATTGAACTAAAACATAAAATAAATCATAATGTAAAACAAAGTTCTTGTCACGTGAGATAATTCAGTCAGTAGGCGACTTTTATCAGTTTCAAACCATAAGGCCGCATGTCAACATTTAGGCTAGCCTATTTATATAGCCTATGTTTATTAAAAGAAATTGTCCATTAACACTGTCAGGTAGGCCTAGTTTTGATAAAATGCCTTAAATTCGTACAACATGAAAAATACTTCCTTTTTTTTTTCGCGTCAAGGTCAGACTGCGAGAAAGCAGTTGTGTCGTGTTCTTAATGCACCAAAATATCCATTATTACCTTTGACTTTGTTTTCCATCTCAGTTTGACCTATAAGGAAATTGGAGAAATAAGAGTTTCAGCCCATGGTGATTATGACAACTGCTAAAATGTGTGCGTACTATAACGACTAAGAGAGTCTGTGATTTGTAGAAAAGAAAAGAAATCGTGAAAGTGTTTCGGACACAGGAGACGCGTGCTTAATGGTTGACAGTCCAACATTGTCATCTTGTGGCCACACATGGAAACACAATTGGGAAAAGAATTAGAGTAAAGATACAGTTACTGTATCTAGAAACCTTATGTACTCGCTCATGATATTCCAAACCCGTAAGAAGTTCTTCAGTGAAACGAAAAGAGATGTTAGGCAGAATTCGAGGGACTGTAAGATACAGTCATTGTTCACTTTCATTGTTTTTTTGTTTTTTTTTCATAAAATGAAAGTTAATAGTATCTGGCACATTCATTGAATTATTGGTTAAACTGTTCTTTTAAAATAGACCTATCAGAATTAAATTGTGATCGTAGGCCTACTTTTGAGTATGTACATTACAACAGAACACTTATCAAGATTTAGATCAGAAGAGAAAAAAATGATACTTTGCTGTGACACTTGACCTTAAACTGGCTGTTCCATTGAAGGCCTTTACACACATTGGGAGACACACAAACCAAAATTGGAGGTGGAGGAGAAACTCACACTGGAGGGGACTTGTGAAGACAACATAATTTATATTCTGGTTCCGTGAGAAAAAGTACCTAGGGAATATCTGGCCTTTCCAAAATGACCGAGTGCTTTGTTCTTGAGTTTCACATGTATTTTTTTGTAACTTTTTTTTCTTTCTTTTTTACACAAAGGTCGGAGTTCAAGGCTAACTTTGATCAGAAGGATGGAGAGGGGTTAAAGGGTAGCGTTCTTTGATTTGCTAATGTTTCCTCCAGTCTCTCTTCCTGCCCCTCATGCTAAAGGGAGTTAAAGTGCTCACACAGGAAAAGCGGATAAATGCTCACATCTGCCTGCACTGAGACACCTCACACTGCACTTAAATACAGCAGGAATATGCCATAACTTCAAACTGTTTATCGCATTTCCAAATCCATACAGTAAAAGAGTTACATTAAAAGAATAGTTATGGCTATGACGACTGCACAGATTAGGGGTGTACAGTAACTCTATAAGAGGGGAAGGAAAGCAAGTGATCTTCAGACCTCTGAAAGATGGCGAATGGTCAGGAAATGAGTGCATATCCTGTCTGTGTCTCTTCATCAGATGTTTTGATGGTTTCAGCAGTCTGACATTACCTCAGCACTCAGG